AGGCTTCTAGGCCAAGCTGTACAATACCTGACCTAGTATTTTTTTCTCCACTGCCTCTCCCTTGCTATCACTTTCTGCATTTCCAGGTATATGGTTATGAACGTCTTTGGTATTATCATTATCATTGTTGCTTTTGTTTTTATTATCATATTTATTATTATTATTAATGTTTTATCATCATCATTACTACTACTGCTGCTGCTACTACTACTACTACTACTACTACTACTACTACTACTACTACTACTACTACTACTACTACTACTACTACTACTACTATTTCTATTACTACTACTACTACTACTACTACTACTACTACGACTAATGATGATAATAATTACAATGATAATAGAACAACGGTAGTATTAACAATGATAATGGTAGTACTATTACTAATAGTAGTAGTAGTAACAATATTAAAGAAAATAATAACAATGAAAATAGAACCATAAAATATTAACTGTAATAAAGATATGATCATAATAGTAACAATAGTAGCATTGGTAATAGTAATAATAATGATCATTTAAATGATACAAAAAACATAAATTGACAGCGTTGATGGTATTATACACCTGTAACTTAATTAATAGTAATTTAACATGGAAACAATAATGTTTATAATGCTAATAGCGATGGTATAATGCAATGATGATAGTAATGGTAATGGTAATCATCATGATTATTCTTATCATTACCATTATTATCACATTGTTATTTCATTATTATTATTATTATCATTATTATCATTATTATCATCATCATCATCATCTTCATCATTACATGGAATAGTAATAATCGTAATAATGATAATAGCAGTGTCAATATCAATAATAATGATAATGACTAATAATAGGAATAGTAATAATAGTGATAACAACGAGGATGATACTGATAATAATGATAATGATAATGATATTAATGATCATAAATAAGGGTAATAATGATGATGATAATGTTTATAATCATAAGAGTAATAATAAGAATAGTAATAATAATAATAGTACTACTGATAATAAAATAATGGCAATAACAATGATTATGATAATGATGATTATTACTATATTTGCAGTGACACAAGTTTTATTCTTGGCTGATATAAATAATAATAACAATAATAATGATAATGATATAATAATTACAAATGTAATCACAATAATATAAAATAAAATCATTTTGATAGTAAAACTAATAGTAATAGTAATATCAATAATTCCTGATACTACTAATTACGTGAATAATGACGATAGAAAAAAGAAATAGAAATAAAAGAAAGCACAAAGAGAGTAAAAAAAAAAAAGCACACACACACACACACACACACACAAAAAAAAAAACGGTCGACCTCACAAAATTCAGGACATATTTTTAACTCGTTTTTTTCTCCTTAGCAAATTCCCAACATTATGAATGGACTTTCCCTCTAAAATTATATAACCCTGCGGTCCCTAGAATCCCAGTCATCAACCCCTACGAAGGTAACAACAAAAAAAACAAAAAAACGTAGTATCAAACCCAATAAACAAAAATAAGACGTCCCTACGCCACTAACTAAATTATACGTAGCCAATAAACAAAAATAGACGAAAAATCCCTACTATCCCTACTATCACCGCCATTATCAACCCCCTACGAAGCTAACGAACAAAAGTGAAGCGGAATGCGCACGGTGGCTCCCAGCTATGGGCCCCCACGCGCGCGAGGGTTCCCAGAAGAGGTCTGAATCCCCGGCGCCTGTCCTACTTTATGCAACAAATCAACATCTGCATTTGTCCCAAGGTTTCAGGGGGGCGAGGGCGGGGGGGGGGGGGGGCGAGGCGGAAGGGGGGGGGCGAGGGCGGGAGGGGGGAGGGGAGCGAGGGCGGGGGAGGGGAGAGGGCAGCTTCTTGTCACGTTTCCTGGGCTTATGTAAATGCGTGCTTGTGTTTGTGTGCGTATATATAGATGGACATGCATACACATGCATGCACACACATACACGCATTATATATTTGTGGTGTGTGGATATTATATATATATATATATATATATATTATATATTATATATATATATATATATATATACACATATGTATGTGTATATATACTTATATATATAGATATAGATGGATAGATAGATATTAATCTTATATGAATGCGCGCATGTGTATGTGTGTGCGTGTTTATGTATGTATGCATTTATATACACTACATATACCCATATGCGTACACACACAGAAAACATACCTATTCCATTCCATAAAAAACACATCAAAAATAATAAAACCTAGAACTCTAATTATCTTTATTATTTATGTATACCAACGCCCTCTTCTTCTTCTCCAACACACGCACGTGCAGATGAGGGGAAAAAATCCGGCAGAATCTGGCAAGCAGAAGCTGGACAACAGATTTTGCAAAGAATCGCACGTTGCAAGCACTCAGGAATAATGCAGCGCTGTTGCAGTAGCCTCTAGCACTATGAACTTAATTAATTCAATGAAGAGAAATCTTGCACAACATTACGAATGTGGTGTAAAAAGAAGGAGATTAATAAGCGGTTAAGAATGAGGAAATAAGGGTAAAAGCAAATAAGTGTGAAGAAAAAAAGAAAAGAAAAAGCAGATAAGTGTGAAGAAAAAAAGAAAAGAAAAAGCGGTTAAGAATGAAGAAAAAGAAAAAAGGTAAAAACAGTTAAGAATGGAGAAATAAATGAGAAAAGTAAAAGCAGTTAAGAATGAAGGAAGTAATATAAAAGTAAAGCAGTTAAGACTGAAGAAAAAAAGTAAAAGCGCTTTAGAATGAAAAAAAAAGTAAAAGCAGTTAAGAATGAAGAAAAAATTAAAAAAAGTAAAACCAAAAGAACGAAGAGAAAACGTAAAAAATAATAAGAAGAAAAGGGTAAAACCAAACAAATGAAGTAAATACGAAATGTAAAATAACAGAAAGGACGAAGAAAGAAAATAATAATAAAGAAAAAAAAATAATGAATAAAAAAAGAGAAAAATAGGAACATAGAGAAAATAAAGATAGGAACCAAATAAGAGATACATAGATAAAGAATAAAATATATAAAACAATAATGACGAATGAAAGAAAAGTAGAAAAAAACAACAACAACAATAAAGATGAATGGAAGAAAAAGAGAAAAAACAACAATGAAACAAGCAAACGAAACGCAACTCAAAACTGTGTTAAGACTTTTACAACCACGGACTTTATTAAAGACGCAGAGAGCGCGAAGTTAAAGTGTGTTGGCTGGGTCGTCCAATGTCCGGTTTGGCCGACAGGTACCGGGGAGTCACGAAATGATCACGTGATATTATTGGCTCTGCACACGACTACAATGCTTCGGCTTTTGAAATCTTGTTTTTGCCAGCGCCTGCTTAATCTATTCAAATAAATATACACACACACATATGTATATACATATATATACATATGTATATAATATATATATATATATATATATATATATATATATATATATATATATATATACATACATATATACATATGCATAAAAGCACAAACACACACATATAGGTTTGAATATTTTCATTTGGTGGGATAAATGTCTTTTTATTGTTTATTAATGATATTATTTCTGGCTCTGCACACAACTATAGTGTTACGGCTTTTGAAAGCTTATTTGTGCCAGCGGCTGCTTAATGTTTATATATAAATATAAATACATACATACATAAATATACAGATAGATAGATAGATGTACATAACATACACACACACATACATATGTATGAATACTTTCATTTAGTGGGATAAATGTATTTCTATTGTTTATTAATAATATTTCTTATTTCTGGCTCTGCACACGACTACAATGCTTCGGCTTTTAAGATCTTATTTGTGCCAGCGCTCAGTAGAAAAAAATCATCTAAGAATATAAATTTCGTGGGGTGAATATCTCTCTTATTGATCATTTATGAGATATCCCATTTCATTCGTTCCTAAAAGATATGTTTGAAACTTCCGGAACACCAAAATAAATCATTATTCGGTGTTCGAACTCTCGCGAATCACGACAACAGAATGTCCACAAAGACGATCTGACTTTGGCTTCAGATATGAGTCGACACTTGTTTACGCATTGAGATGGCCTTACCTCATTCTTTCTTTTGGAGGAAAGTTGTTGCCAAGCAGTACACAATAAAAGATAAATAATAAATAAAACTTATTATAACCAGATCCAATAGCACATATAGGCCTATGTTTGTTTACCAGCAGAAATATATATGAAGTAAAATAACTGGTCTCACTGTAATTACCGTAGTATTTGTTCAATTCATAACAGATTATCGACCATTAGTTATGGAAAGCTTGAATTGTAGATCTGATAAACGCGATAGACAAGGAAACGCAGAAAAGGTGGGACTGAAAATCGTAAATAAATCCGAATCTTATTTTACTAATCTCTGTTTAAGAAGACATGATCGTCCAATCGAATGTAAACTACTGAATATTGATATATAATATTATTAGTTAACCCTTGCAGCAATAACAGAGTATTAATGAATTTGAGCTTAGAGATACGTCTGTATCATTAGATATTCTGCGCAGGTTGTTCACTGTTCACGTTACAGAGAACAGAAATAGAATAGCTGCAGTCCTATACACAAACACGTGCCTTTGGTGCCGTCATACGCACATGTTGCATATTTCGACAATGACAACAAAAGTCACATCAAAATTGCAATGATCATAATCTGAATATAATCCTACGTATTGAAATCAATCTGAATGTCCCCAATTGCAACCGTCTAGAATTTCCCGCACCCTAATGACCTCCATACAAATTATACGCATTCATAACTCTCACCCACGTGTGGAAAAATACAGAAAAGGCGAGAGGAAAATTACATCGAACATTCGGTGGGCTCTACAGGAACGGCTGCCAGATGTATCACGGTATACCGAAACGGCGTGTTCTAAATATGGCCGAGCAAGGTGAGGCCAACAGACCGACCGACCCTCTCCCCGCCTATAAAGCAGGGGCAGCC